AACTTTCCAGAACAGAAAGAAAATATACCAGAAAATAGCTTCAGCAAAAATTACAGCTTCAGGAATTTCCTCCTCTCCCTGATGCAATATATACAATGTTGCAGGAATCAAATATAGCCACGCTGAGGATGCGGAGAAAAATGGCTTAAAGGGAAGACTTCCTGGTGGGAGTGAACTTGGAGCTGGGTTGAGAAACAGGTGATGGCTGGAGAGCACGAGTAAGGAGGCAAAAGCCCCGAAGGAAAAGCACTGTGCAAAGGCCAGGAACCAGGCAGGCTGGGGGAGCTAGAAAGTGGGATTGACAGCCAGCCCTGAGTGTTCTCCTGACCCATGGCCATGGACGCTGGGTTTCCTCCTGGGCACTTTCCTTTCCCCCTGGGTTAGCAGCCAGCTTCGGAGCAGGCTTGATTAGCATTATCTTGGCCTGTGAGGTTGTTGGGCAGAGGGGGACAGGAGAGGTAGCTCTGACATGGAGCAAGAGGGAGCCATGGGAGCAAGTTCCTAATTAAGATGATTATATGGTCATTTTCAAGGGCTATGCCACTTACCAGGCACCTCTCAGGAGGCTCTAGTTGGCAGTTCAATTCATCATGAGACCTGGAGCCATGGGGTTGGTGTGGCAGCTGGGCAAGGAGCCCAGGCTCAGAGAGCTCAGTTGGGAATCTTTAATGACGAAAATGATGAGTGGGGAGCTTGCTGTTGCCAGGGAAACTGACTCTGGGTGGATAAGACATGATCCAACTGGTAGCCCATAAGGACAATGGCACATACCCCCAGACTTCACTGTGAGTGGCAAGCAGGCACCTCTGGAACCCACTGTTCCAGCCGTGCTCGGGCTCTGTCCACCTCTGTCTGCGTCTCTTAGAGACTTCACACCCTGGTAATGTGCGTGCCAGTCCATATCAATATCTAAGGGGTCCGGGGAGATGTCCCCAAACCAGAAAAGCCTTTGGCATGGCTCCTGCCACCCTGAGTTAGCTGTGTCTGGCAGGAATATGGTACGACAAGCCATGGGAATGTAGCTGGGGTAAGAGCCACAGAGTAGGGTTAGGACACGCTGGCATGATAATGACCATGGGCATCAGGGGGAATGGAATGGCAGAAGCACTGGATTGGGAGCAGGTAACTAATATTGATTCCAGATCTGTTATTACCAACTGGCTGAGTGACCCTGGGCAAGTGACTCTCTTCCAGGTCAGGTTTGGTAATCTTTAAGACCCCTTCCAACTCGTTTTCCTGTGTTCTGGAATTTGGAACCTGACACTTTTATCTCATCAGCCCCACATCTTAGCCCACTGAACTCCCCCACCACAGTACAGGTGCCCCAGAGACTGGTCCATGCTGGAGCGCAGGATCTGAGACTGGCAAGATGCCTGAGCAGCCCCATCCTGCTGGCCTTTGCTGCTCAGGGCCGTCCTGCCGAGCTCAGGGATGCCCCCTAAGCTCCTGGAGAGGTTTGATAAGCTGCTTGCTGCACTTCTCCATTTCCAATAGGTGCCATTTTAATGGGGCTTTTCCCTGAGACAAGGAACAAGTAATTTACAGTGTGGGAGTTGGGCTTTGGCAGAGCATACACTTGCTCAGTTTTTTTCATCCTCACCAGAGGACATTTTTTGTTTTGTTTTGTTTTGCATTTATCTTGAGATAGAGCGGGAGGAAGGGAGGGAGGGAGAGAGAAAAACATCAATGTGAGAGACACATCGAGTGGTTGCCACCCACACAACCCCAACCGAGGCCGGAGACAAACTGCAACCAAGGTGCATGCCCTTAGCAGGAACCGAACCTGGGCCTCTCTGGTCTGTGGGCCGACGCTCTTAACTGCTGAGCCAAACCTGCCAGGGCCACTCACTCAGTTTTCTCATCCCCCTTCCCATCTCCTTCTGTCCCCTCCTCCTCATTCACTCTTTCCTGGCCCTTTCACTCCCCATTCCCTACATCCTGTCCTCAGCCAGCTACCTCCTCCTCACCCTTCCTGGGGCAGCAGTGTGGGTTGGGGTCCAGTAGGCAGGGAAGAGGACCCAAGAATCCTGCTGGGGACGAGGAAAGGAAAGAAGTGATTCAGGTACTGTGAACAGCTCCTGCGGATTCTTTCAGAGATGCTGAAGAATATTGGAAAGCTGGCAACTGAGACGAAGGACCTCAAGTTCCGTCTTCATCCCATACCACCTCCAGGCCCCATGGAATCACTCTGGGATATGACTTCCTTTGACACACTGTTCACACAAATTTTAATTGGTATTTATTATGTGCCTACAGTGTGCAGAGGGGTGGAGAACAGAGGAAGAGGGTAATGAGCCTGCTCTTAGACACCCCGGGTCTGGCCCCCAGCCACAGGGATCCCCATGCTCACAGTTTCTCTGCTGAGACCTTCTTCCCCAGGTGCACCTGGTCAACTCTGACTGGGCTGAGAATCAGCTCAAAAGCCTCCCCAGTGTCTCAGGTGAGTTAGATGCCACCTGGTACCTGTGGTGATGGAGTTTGTGCATTTTATTGTTGTGAGCTAGACGTGTGCAGTGTCCAGGGGGAGTGTGGCAGACTACTTTCCAAACATGGCTGCACCCGTGGATTTATCCCATCCCATGTGCTCTTAACACTGACTGACACTCCTTCCAAGAGGTGTGTCTGGGGGCGTGGGGGGGTGTGTGTAGCTGCCATAGCCCAAGGAATATGGCAGAACAGATGCCACGTGACTTCTGAAGCTTGGTCATAAAAAGGATACAGCTCCTACCTGGCTCCCCTTCAGGCCACTCACCTTGGGAACCCAGCCACCATGCCGTGAGGAAGCCCTGGCCACACGAAGCCTTGTGCAGGTGTTCCAGTGGGCAGCCCCAGCCAAGGAGCTCAGCCAACACCGAACACCAGACATGTGAATGAACCTTCAGACGATTCTCCTCTCCAGCCTTGGAATCTTCCAGCTGAGGCCCTAGATACCATGGAGCAGACGAGCCATCCCAGCCATGCTGTCCTCATTCCAGATCTCCAAAAACCACAAGGGGGCCTTGTTGAGTCAGGTTTGTGCTCCAAGGCCCAGTCCCATGACCAGCACATAGTGGGTGCTCAATTAGTATGTATGTATGTATTTTTGTTAATCCTCACCAGAGGGTATTTTTCCATTGAGTTTTTTTTTTAGATAGAAAGGGTAGGAGGGAGGGAGGGAGAAATATCAATGTGAGAGACACATCAACTGGTTGCCTCCTGCACAACCCCAACCTAGGCCGGAGATTGAACCTGCAACCCAGGTATGTGCCCTTAACCTGGATTCAAACCCAAGACCCTTCGGTCCATGGGCTGACACTCCAACCGCCAAGCCAAACTAGCCAGGGCTCAGTGAGTATTTACTGAATGAATTGAGTGAGTGACAATCCCAGTTAGACCTCTCTCCCATCACTCTGGCCTCTCCTACTCCTCTCGAGTTCCACTGCTCTCAGGGAACCGAGGAGTCGCAAGCCTACCCTCCACAGTTCTTACTGCTTAAGCTACTTGGAGCTGGGTTGCTGTTACTAGCAGCACAGAGCATCTTTACTGATCCACAGCATTTATCATTTTGTCCTCACTACAGCTTTGTGGAGGTCACTATTACCATCCTCATTTCACACATGAGGACACTGAGGCTGAGAGAGGGAGCAAGCAGTAGTAAATAATAAAGTGAGGATTTGAATTCAGGTCTTCTGGTGCCAAATTCAGTATTATGTCCATGACACTGTAGACGCTGTACCTGTTCACAAATAAAGTCTGATTAGTGAATGCTGGCTAGTCCTTAACGACCACATCAGATGAATAAGGGAAGAGACCCAGGTCTTAAGCAACGCTAATTAACAATGACAAAACTTCAGCTGCCATCTTTTCTGTCCCAGGCTGTGCATTAAGCACTTTATTATTTTAAAAATGTTTTCACTGATTTTTTTGAGAAGGGAGAGAGATAAACATTGATGTGAGAGAGACACGATTGGCTGCCTCCTGCACAGCCCCTACTGGGGGATTGAGCCTGTAACCTGGGCATGTACCTTGACCAGGAATTGAGCCAGGACCTCTTAGTCCATGGGACGATGCTCAATTCACTGAGCCACCCAGCCAGACACACTAAGCACTTTAAACACATTGCAGCGTTCACTGGCTCTCAGCCACCCTGTGAGATGGGCATCATTTATCCCTAGATGGTTAAGAGAGCAGAGGCTTGGAGAGGTGATGTGACTTGCTCAAGGTCACACAACTAATAAGGGGCAGAGCTGGGCTACATACCAGGCCTGCTATTCCAATCACTTAAGGTCCTCCAGAGAGCCAAGCTTCTCCACTAGGTCTCATTAGCACGTCAACAGCAGGAAAATGAGCTGAAGGGGCTCTCAGAGTATGTGGCAGCACCTGCCTCACACCCATTTGGTGATTGGTCTGGGGAGTCCAGGTGGCCGGGCACTCCTGAGAGATGGGGTCCCTAGAGCTCTGACATATCCTTTCTCCTGCACACTTACACCAAGGAGGAGGTTTGAAACCAGACCCTGGAGGGAAGGCTGGTTTAGGAGCACCCTCTTCCCCCCCTTCCTAAGCAGGGGCTCCTGGATCCAGAACCCTGGGCATGAGCAGGGATCCCTCCCACACTTCTAGCTGAAGAATGACAGCTGAGGATCCCGACATCTGCACTCGTGCCAGGGCCTCCTGGACTTCCTCCACCTCCCCTTCCAGCTTCCCACCCAATACCTCTCCATCTTTCCATAGGCTACCCCAAAACCCAGCCAGCTGAGAACTGAGCTCACACTTCTCCCCTTCGCACCAGCTCCCCTCCCTGATTTCCCAGGGACACGTCAGTGCCACCCTCCAGGCCGCTAGTCCATCGGCACTCGGCCCTCCCTCCTCCACGAAGCCGGCACCACATCGGGTGGGGGACTGAACCTGCAACCCAGGCACACACCCCGACCAGGAATCAGACTTGTAACCCCTTGGTGCACAGGCCAACACTCCAACCACTGAGCCACAACACTGGCCAGGGCAAAACATAGCATTCTAAATAAAATAAATCTCAACTTTATTCAACTGATGTGTTGAAAAAACAATGGGTTTAAGTCTAAATTTGCAAATCAACCCCATGTAAATTCATTAGGGCAGAAGACTTAGGAGAAAAAACCCAGCAATGAAGTCTATAAAAATCAACTCTCCTACTTACTTGGTCTTTGAGTTTGGTTTTGTTAAGGTGGTCACATGAGTTAAATTCCATGAAAAGAAGATATTCCCACCTGTCTTAAACCACAATAGGCAAACCGTGTACCAAAAACCTGTATGTACAAGGCCACAGAGGCTAACTTGGAAATTCTTACACCAGCTCAACCTGATAATTCACCCTGACTCCACTAGGTGGTGCTCTTTACCTGGCCTAGGACCCTTCCCTACACTGGGGACTGTGGAGAATGAAGTACCTAGTCCGGCCAAGGTAAGTTTCCCTAGCTGCTGTTCTCTAGCCTAAGATGGTAAACACCCACAAAATGCCCACAATTTTTATTACAAAGCACAGAGGATGGCTCTGAAGGTAGGGGAAGGCGTTACTCTTGGTGTATCACTACAAATAGATGTCACATCAGCCAATGGAGGACAGGGTGGGGGAAGTTTTGGTCTCCTAGAGTTCAAGTCCAAATGGCTTAGCTGCCCCATGTATACCTCCTTCCAAAGTGCACTGTCTGGCAAGATCTTCAAGTGCTCAGGGGATAGGACAGCCAGGTCTGTGCAGTTTTAAAATCCATTTAATGGACTGCTAAGAGTCCTGTGCTGGGTCCTGAGGATGGCAGGGTTGCTGGGTGTGAAGGAAATTTCAAACTGTACCTCCCCAAAGTGAGATCTAGGCCTGAAGATGCCTCAACCCCTCTCCACCCTCCAGGCCACCATTTTCACTCTGTCAGGGCCCTCAATCCTTTTATGAAGGGGTCATAGATTCCCTGTTCCTTGGAAACCCAGAGCCCAGAGCAATAGAGATCCCACCAAAAGTGTGACTGAAATCAGTACCCAGGAAACTCATGTTAAAAATCCATGACTATTAAGAAACACTTACCAAAAGGGGATCTATGCAACAAGACCTCACTGAAAAGACCAACACTGCTACAGAAGCAGGTGGGAGGTAAATAAGGGAGGTGGAATGGAGGAACACATAGAAAAGAGACAGAAGACAGTCCAAGAAACAAGAAATTAAGACAATAGGTGGGGCAAGACAATCAAAGGTAGGGGTAATACTGACCAGGTTTCAAGTTCTTCTGGGAAATTCTGAGTGCTAGTTTGTCTTGCCTTAAGGCTACTGAATATAGGGCTGGGAGAGCCTGTGATTGATGAAAAAATATGCTAACCAGGTCTTTCTGGTACTTTTAGCAATTAATCAATATAGACAGACTGGCTTTACAGTAAATCCCACAATACACCAGGTAGTGTACAGTCTTAATCCAGGGTTGGTCAGAGAAGGAAAAAGTTCCTGGTCCCTGGAAAGAGTCTCACAAGGACAACCAGAGACGATTTTAGGGTGGCATCCACCCACACTGGCTGGACTGGCGGCTTGGCCGGCAGTTGCTAATATACTTCAAGGGAAGGGAAGAGAGCAAAAGCATTAGAGATGCTAAAACTAGAGATGAGACTGTTATTGATAAATTACTAACCTTTGCTCACAGTTACTTTCTAAGGGGCAAAGGCCCAACAAAGCCTGGGCATGGGTGCCAGGCCGCAGTTTTGGAACCTTAAAAGCCAACCATTCTATTAACTACCAAAAAGAAAAAATCAGTAACTTGGGTCTTTAGTTTCAAGACTGAGCACTCCCAGAGAATAACAGTGGCCTCAGTTTAGAAAGGAGAAACATCCAACAACGGTCATGTGGAAAATCTTGTCGGCAACAGCACCAAATGCCTGTTTCCTCTAGGTAGCTGCTTCTGGGGAAGGATGACAAGTATGGGCAGTCAGTCATCTGCATGTCATTTTGGGGGTGGGGAGGTGGCTAGTAGCAAGAACGTGTGAATCCACTTACTATAATGGGCACAGGAAAAAAAGACCTCTTTCCCCTCATTCTCTCTGTTTCTGCTCCAGCCTATCTATTAGGAGCCAGAAAGACTGGATGATGACAAAATATGGACAGGTAGCCATGAAAGCCTTCCCAGGGCACGCATCATCTATGTGAACAAAACACCAAAGCCATTCTTTTCCTTTCCCCTTCCTTCCTCACCCCTTCCTCCCCCAGGGAGAGTGAGTGAGAGAGAGAACAGGGACTTCTTTCATTTCGTACACACTATGAACCGTGGTAGCACTAGCTTCCCCTCTAAGATGCCGTGCAAAACAGAGCAGGTTTGAAACTCCAACTAGGTTACAGATCACAATTACTTCTGAGTGGTTTTCACAGTTAGATGGACATACATCTCAAAACATGGCCTCTGGGCCCCCTTTCTCTTTCACAGGCGCACACGCTCACAACACACACACACACACACACTCAGGCAGTGGGAACGTCGTTCAGCTGCTGGGCTTAGCTGGCTCATGTCAGGTACTGCACCACGAGGAACATGAACACACAGGTGAGCAGCATCCCACCGATCATAAAGTACTTGTCCTGGAAAGCCCGCTTCTCAATGAGCCGCATCACTGTGTTGGACAAGCCCAGCATGTTGGCAATGTCAAGGATCCTCTTCTGAGTCCCCTGGGGCAGACAAGAAGAGAAAGAACAAAGGTAGGTGAAAGTCATTGTGAGACAGGGCTTTACCAACAATAGTCTTTTGATCATGCCTGAAACATATAGAAAGCAGCATCAACCAGAAATAGATAACTCTCATAAGGTACTTTTGATCAAGGTACCAGAGCAACACAAGGGGGAAAGAGAAGTCTTTTCCACCAATGTGCTGGAACTGGTTATATAATAAATATCACATGTATGTATCACACACGCACATATATGTCTTGTATAAATCATATATAAGTATCTGCATTTGCATATATGTGTGTAAAAAATGATCCTCGCCCTGGCCGGTTTGGCTCAGCGGTTAGAGCGTCGACTGCGGTCCTGAGAGACCCGGGTTCGGTTCCCGCTAAGGGCGCGTACCTCGGTTGCAGTTTGTCCCCGGCCCTGGTCAGTTGTGCGGGTGGCAGCCACTCGATGTGTTCCTTTCACATCGATGTTTATCTCTCTCTCTCTGTTCCTCTCTCTCTCTCCCACTCTACCTGAACAAAAAAATGGAAAAATGTCCTCGGATGAGGATAAAAAAAAAAAAAAAAAATGATCCTCGATTCATATTATATACAAAACTTAATCTGGATTATAGAATTAAACATAAAAGCCAAAACTATAATAAATCTTCTAAAAGAAAACACTATCTTAAAACTGAAAAGAATACAGGTGTCCATCACCAGAGAATGGATATATATATAAACAATTTGATACATCTGACAATGAGATACTGCTTGGCAATAAAAAGGACCTAATTACAAACATGTAACAGTATGAATGAGCCTGGAAAACATTCCTGAGAAAAAAGCCACACAACAAAATAGTAATATGAATATATTTATATGAAGTTCAGTAACAGGCAAAATTAATTTATGGTGATATAAATCAGTATAGTGGTTGTCTGGGGATACAGCAGACCGATTTGAAAGGGCACCAGGGCCTGCTGGTGTGGCTCAGTGGTTGAGCATCAACCCATGCACCAAAAGGTCGCCAGTTCAATTCCTGGTCAGGACACATGCTGAGGTTGTGGGCCCAACCCCCAGTGAGAGGCATGCAGGAGGCAGCCAACTGATGTTCTTTCTCATTAATGTTTCTATCTTTCTCTCCCTCTCTCTCTAAAATTAATAAAGAAAAAAAAATTTTTTTAAAGAAAGGGCACCAGGGATCTTTTTGGGGTGATGAAAATGATCCATGTCTTGATATGGTGTAGGTTACAAAGGTACACATGCATTTGTCAAAATTCAATGACTATACAAATAAGACCTGTATACCTCCCTGTGTGTACATGATGCCTCAATAAAAAATTATGAATTAAAATATTGTATATTCTAATATGTAATATAATATATATTTTATATTAAAACAGTCTCTGCTCCCTAGCTCCAAAATCCTTGCTATCAGGATTCTGACCGAACATGTGGGTCAGTGTCCAGGTTTACGAGAAAGTTTAAAGTGGTCAAGATGGAACGACAAAGACACGACACAACTGACAGAGACCAACACAATGACCTAAAACCCCTCATATAAACATCACCACCCATCACCAAAAATAAAAAGGGTTTTTATTTGTAAACCAACAGCCCAAATCACCCAGCCTGCCCTTCCTTCTCTGCTAATTTTCATTTTTAGTCACATTCAAATTCTTATGAAGCTACAAATATAAATGAATGCTGGGCAAACCCTAAGTTACTTCTACACACATCACCAGCTGCATGTGTAAGGACGGCATCTACCTAATGCCCTACTCCTATTTTTATAACGAACAACACATTATCGAACAACTGAGACAAGAGGCAAGAGAAGTGAGAACGACACGAGGCACTGTGGACAGGAATTCAAACCTATGTTCTGCCCAGACAATGATTTCAAAGCCTCACTGAGAGATCCTGCAAGTCAAACTTGATTACTGCCAGGAGATCACTGATGTGTTTTCCACAACGGTGATGGTAAATATGAGACTCTCACTAAGATTATGCTCAGCTCTGAAAGCACCAATTATTTCCTCACCATTTGAAGTTCAAGTATCAAGCTTCTAAAATCACCTTAAAATGACCATAAATTTCAAAAAATATATACATTTTCAACCATGAATTTCCCCAAATCATGGCCCAGCTCCTTCATGTTCTCTCCCACGTTAATTTCAAATGGTTAAAGCCCCCAAACTTCCCTGCCAGAGGTGAGTGGGAGACGGGCGCAAGGACTCGGTGCAGAGGCAGGCAGTGGTGGGCCCGCAGAGGAAGCAGGGTTAGGGCCGCCTCGCCAGGCTTTCTGGCACTTCACTTCGCGTGAAGTCACTCGCACTCCTCAGCGATTCCAGATTGCAGTAGGAAGCCAACATCTGCTTTAACAATAAGCTCTAACCCCCACTGGTTGACATTAGTGTGACATGCTAAGTCCTATCCTAAAAGGGTTTTACTGTTTCCCTGAGATACAGGAATGAGGCCAGCCGTTTTCTACAGAAAGGGCGAATTAATCAACATGTATCAGTTTAGATTACTGCAGGTGGCTGTTCTGAAAGAGGGGCACCTGTGAAGCTGTTGGAGACCACACTTTGGACTATCTAAAGCACCGGAGCCATCAGCAGGAGGTTAAGTGTCACTGGTGGCTTGCCTGACCTTCTCCCTGGTAAAAGTGGCAGAAATGTACTGAAGTCCCTCAGAGCTGACCACCTCAACATGGTCCAACAAAAACTAAGATAAAGCTCATGCTTCCGAGTGACTGTTTCTCACAGCTCAGTGGCTGGGAGTGCTTCGTTCACAGGGAACCACACCCTGATAATAGGCACAGTCCACACCCCATTATCCATCAGAGTTGATACAGGAAAAGGGCTGAGGCTGAAACATCACGATTGACATCAGAGTCTGTGTAATGTTTCTGTAAACTAGTCCTGGGGGTTGGAGTCTCAGCCAATGGGGCAGGGCTTCTAGCAATACCTGGGGCTAGAGAGAGTGAGGAGTTGCTGGGGATCACCAGCATGTGCTCTAGAAGCTATGAGCTGCTAAACAACCAGGGCAGCCCTAAGACCCAGCCCCTGGGGTTCAGTACCACAGTACAGAAAGGTCTTGGTTATAAGGCAGTCCATGGTAGAGGCCCTTAGGAGAAAACACCTGAGTGAGGTGCCAAAGTACAGCCACGTCTTCCTGCTTACGAAAGTGGATTCAATAACAGAATTTCTTAGTCTATGGCTGGTTCCTCTCAGAGCAGCAGTCACCTTCAGTAAGTGGGACAAGACCTGGATACCAAAAGATGCCACATTATGATTCATTGCAAGCACAAGAAATACCTCCTGGCAAAGGGAAATAGGTTACTTTGGACTCATAATAATTTGACACCAAAGGAAGGATCCCAAACTAAAGGGCTGTCTCACATCACAATTTGGGGATCTGTAATCAAAATGTAAATGAAGACATCAAACTATTGGATGAAGCAAAAACAAGAGGTCTTCTCCCTGTCCTCAAGGGCCCCCACCTTCAAGGTCAGTCTCTGGGCCCTCAGTCCCTCCAGAATACTGTGCCCGCCTCCAATGAGGTCATCCATGCCGTGGTGAATTTTCTGGAGGGAAGAGTTAAACTGCAGTGATTCATCCATTGGTATGGTGGTGTCAGAGTCCTGTGAAAGAAACGCAGGCACTTGATTAACGTTACTTGCTGGTCAGCTCCTGCGGTCCCACGTATCTGGCTGCTCTGCCTTTTGGCCAAGGCCAAGCCAGAGAACAGCCAGAGGGAATGGAGTAAGAATCAGAGGGAAACTGATAGAGAGGAAAAAGCAAAGCAAAGATCTGGGGTAGGCTCTGTTCACTTTCCTCAGACGTCCACTACACAAGTCTTACTAATTTCTGCCTCTTATCGTTACCCCCAATCTGGAAAAACGTTATTCCTTCAAGACCTCAATGGGCTTCTCTCAGTCTTTCTCTGACTGCTCACTAACCTAACTTGTTCCAAATGTTCCTTTACTTGGTTTTCCCTTAACACAGCATTAAATGTTTGCTTTTGTTCTTTAGCTATTTTATCTAGAGCTTATCCCTCCAATTAGAATGAGACTGACTAAGGATAGAAGAGACAGTGCTTTCCTGTTGACAGCCAAATGACGCTCAGATGGGACTATTCTCCTGAGCAGGCAAGAAAAATCTGCACAAAAAGGAAAGAAAACAAAAATTAATACTGAGCAAGTACTTCCCACTTTGCATACTCGTTACCCTAAGCTCACTTAATCCTCATCCTAACCTTATGAGGTAGTTAACGTATTATCTCCATTTAGAGACAAGGAAACTGAAGCCCAGACAGGTGGCATAACTTGTTCAAGATCTCAGGGAGCTGGTACGAAGTCCAGAAGGGCATGAATCTCAGTAATGAGTGCAGAGCCTGCTCTTAGCCATCCTGTCAGGAGGAACATCAAGACCAATCCTCGGCTCTAAGTTTACACTGAAAGGGAACTGTACACAGAAGCAAGGCATGACCGGCTGTGATACTGTTCTCTTTCCCGCCCCCTGATGACTACAAACTTTTCTGCCAACCAAGGCCATTTTTACCACTTTTTAAAATTCTTGCCTGAGGACGTGTTCATGGATTTTAGAGAGAGGCTAAGGGAGAGAGAGAGAGAGAAACATTAATGTGAGAAAGATACATCGATTGGTCTCCCGCACGCACCCCAAAGAGGGCCAGGGATCGAAACTGCAACCTAGCTATGTGCCCTTCACCAGGAATCGAACCACAACCTTTCGGTGTACGGATCAACGCTCCAACCAACTGAGCCACACTGGCCAGAGCCATTTTTACCACTTTAATTCATCACAAAGAGGCTAAACCACCTTTTCTTTGGTGCTCAAGTTCAAAGTCGTTTTTCATGCATGCATTTTCAACCCCCTTACTAACACAGGAGTTTTTCACACACTTCATTCTCAGCACCTTAAACAGTGGGCAGCATATGGCTAATGCTCAGTGGGTTAGAGACTGCAGTATTTGAATCAGTTAGAGACTTCTCTTCATTTATCTGGCAAGCATTTACTGAATGCCTTTTACTACAAATCTTTCTTACTTTCCCACCTGAAAGGGCACAGCTGATGAACCATTATCTCTCAGACAAATGTATGATAGTCCCTGATCACAGTATAACCAGGAAGTTAATTTAGTAAGCCAATTTTTAAAGAGGGCCCATTGTATGCACAGCATCACGCAGGCTGGTAAGATACAAAATAATCCTGAGCTACCATTCCCCACCTAAAAAACATCTAAATAACCATCAAAAGCCCAGAGAACATCTTTCAGCATGTCATACAGTTCGTTCATTATGCTTCTGAAAACTGGCTGTGCTTACCACTATACCATCAATACGTCTTCATCACACCTTTGAAATGTTAGTCATTGTTATTTGACTGCTTGCTCTAGAGAAACAGAAACTAGGAGGCACAGTCTGAAACATTTGGGGAAATGTACTGCAAGTGTGGACATAGCAAAGAGAATTAAACATCTGCAAAGTGGGAAGTGATTTGAATTCTGATGGCAGGCTTAGAAAGCTAAGACCTCTTTAGAAAATAAACTGCTCTGTAAAACAAACAAACAACAAAACAAAAACCACCCGCAACTCCACCTCATTTGGTGGATAATATGCAGAACACAAAAAAGGTCAGTATGTCCTATAGCGATGTGCAGGAAATGATCCTATTGAGACCAAAGGGCAGGAGCAAGATGTTCTACAAAATCAAACATGCAAACCAACAGGCCACTTTCAAACACACTCAAGTCAAGCAATCCATCTTAAACAAAATATCTGTTAACAAATTCCTCCAAAATTGCTGCTCAGACCAGGGACAAAAACATTTTAATGCATTTGACACTGGAACCACACACATACACAGCAAAATGGCAACTGCCCGAAGGCAGCTTTGAAATGCTGCCCTCACTAAAAATGGTCTAAGTGCTAATCATCTGTCTCTATCTGATCAGCAGAAACATTTCCACCATGTCAACCACGACCTCTCTGCATCAGACCAGTCAAACCAGGTAATTTTCACCCCTGCCCATTCCCTCAAGTTAACTGCTTCCTCTTCAGGTTTCTGTATTAGAAAAAGAGATTCCCTGTCTAGCAATGCACAAGGTCTACTGTCATTTCCAGTTGGTCTCCTCCACATCAGTCTGCTTCAGACACCACCTAAAAGGATGATGCTCAGAGACCTGAGCTCCAGCTCCAACGAGCCGTCTAGTACCTGCAGTCTCCCACCCCAGCGCCTGGCTTACGTTGGTGGTGAAGGTGCGAGACAGAAGCTCCTCTCGCTGTCTTTCCTGCTGCTCCCTTGCATATCGCCGATGCTGGAAGTTTCTGAGAGCAGTCTGCAGGTGCTGGACATCATACTTTAACTGGTCAACCCGACTGGAATTGATAGAGAGAGATATTACATTCCAGAAACCCAGGGTGGCACAATGTGAGGTCACCAGGCTTTGTACTCAGGAAAGAAGACATTTCCTTACTTCTTCCTATACTACTCCATGGTATCTGATTTTGATCAATGATGGTGAAAATAAAGAAGTAGCTTGTGGTTAAAGTAGGGTTGTAGCACACGAGATTCCAGCAGCTTTACTTAAATACCTGCTGGTCTCTGATTCTGGATGCATGACAGAGAACAGGTGACAGGAAACAGGCTCGATGACCTCTTCCTGACCTTCTATGGATTATATCACTCTTCTGGAAGAAGCCCAAGGGCATCTTTGAAGTAAAGCACCAACAAAGTTTCATAAAACTTTTGGGAGCTGGGGCCGGGGTGGAGGTGGTGAGAGTGGTTTCATTTTAATTTCATGGGGACTATCAAACATTAGATCGGTATTTCATTATAATTAGACTGATTGAAGTGATTAAGAGTAAGATCTATTTCAACCCAAGAATGTAGTGGGAACCAAAGGGTAGAGTAAACTCACTGGCAGTATTAGGCTTCAAGTGGCCATGGGTCTGGGCAGAAAAACAGTACTGGAGGCAAAATTCCAAAATGACATCAATGAGGTAAAGAGACACAAAACTTCTGAGCCACTAACGTCACAGAATTTTTATTTGGAAAGAATAGAACTGCGCCCTTTATGAGGACTTTATTTTTGCATAGTCTCAGTTTTTCAATGTGTAAATAGATTTTAAGACTATTCAATAGCCTCCCCTGGGAGAAAGGCCTAACTTGAGGACTTGGGGTGTTGAGCACTCACAGTTTGGCATTCTGTCTTTTGTTAGGGGGCTCCTTGCTGGACAAAATCTCCAGACGTTCTAGATGGCTGAATATCTGGTCTATGCTTGCTTGGATTTCATTTTCTACCACTGCACAAAAGAGAAAAAAGAATAATTGCTGGAAAAGAGATAATGAACGTAAATTAGAATGGCAATCAAACATATCTTTTTCCTATACCCAAGAGACTCAAAACTATGTATTTCAAAAGAAGAAAAATGCATACACTATTGAATAATGGAAAAATATTCAAGTAATACTACATGACTCTGGAAATGTTGTTTCAAATATGTATATATAGCTGTTAATGCCATAACAATGCCAATTTTTTAAAAGCTGGGGGTAGCCCTAGCTGGTTTGGCTTAGCAGCTAGAGCATTGGCTTAGGGACTGAAGATCTCGGGTTCAATGATTTCTGGTCAAGGGCACGTACCTGGGTTGCAGGTCTGACCTCTAGCCCGGGTCAGGGTTGTGCAGGAGGCAACCAATCAATGTGTCTCTCTCGCAGTGATGTTTCTCTCTCCCTCCCATCCACTCTATCTAAAAAAAATCAGTGGAAAAATATCCTTGGGTGAGGATAAATAAATAAATAAAGCTATTTTCTAAAAATCTGTAGAAATAAATTTCCTGCCTTTAGAAAATAAAGTGAATAGCTAAAGGTTGTACAAAAAAATTTTAAGCAAAAGTCAGTATTTTCTGACATAGAATGAACATTCTTTTCCTTTGAGATTATTCTCAGATATAGATTATAAATATCTAGTAAAAAAGACTGCCAATTGAATTCCCTACAGTAATGAGGTTAAAACAAAAGTACAAAGGGAAAGATTGTAATTGAAACATAGAGAAGAGTTCCCCTAAGGGTTTCTATAAGAATGGGTGGGCTGAAGCTTGAGTCCCCAAAATAGACCAAATATCAGTAGGAAAGGCCCAGGAAAGAATCCACAGAGGTGAAGATATGATAAACACAGTCATTATCCTTATCCCTTGTGATAAACTATCAAAATGACCTCTTTTCCATTTCTAATCATGTAACAATGAGATTGTTGGGAAGGCAAACAAAGTCAATGGACAGAAACAAAACTGTGCACAACAGAAGGCATCCAGATTGCTTCTCACCCCGTAAAGAAATGACAGCAATGTCACCTCTGTAGGTTAGCTAACAAATAAGATTAGAACAAAGTGGGGCACAGGACCAAAAAAAAAGATGCTGCTGGAGCTGCAGAAAGGAGACAGGAGAAACGGGCACGGCGACAGCCAAGCAGCGAGGCGAGAAGGCAGCTTCTGCAGTGTGTGGGTAACCAGCAGCGTCTGCGTGACCGACTCAGAAGAAGGACCTTTTCCCATGATAGAAAAGACACTAAAAAACCCAAAGCAGCCCTCTTCTCAAAAGAAACCGGGGTGTAGGAACTAAACTAATTAATATTGCTATTCATTTCTGAATAATCCTCCTAAAAAGCCACAGTTCTCAGCTCAGAAGAAATGACCAATTCCAGTTAAACATGTCTGACTTTTCATGGAGCACATTCTTCTAAGGACTAGGTAATTAGATTAAGACAGATGGAGGAAAGAACTTCCATTCTCACAGGGCCATGTCAGGTTGAGTGGAGGGGTAATGGGGAATGCGGCTTGCAGGATTCCAAAGGACACAATCAGGGAAATCAGTGACTGTGCCATAGGGTTTTCTGCACCCTAACAACAGAACTCATTCCAAGCTGAATCATTAAGCCCCTGAGGCAGAAATGCAGTCAGGAAACCCAGCCCATTAGCACCGTGTCATCAGAGAAAGGACTCTGGTCCCCATAGCTAATTACTCACAGTGCACAGACTGCTTGTCTGCCGTCTCCAGGCGTCCCATGTGAGACTGGATCTGGTGGACCTGCCTATCAAAGGAAGAGGGAGGAAATGGGTGAGACAGGAGTAATCAACAGCGCTTCAGTCAGGAAAGACAATTTTTCTGATGCCAACATATAACTGATTTAAACTGACAGCACCACTGGACTATAAAATTTGTGGCACTTCAGGCTCATGTTTTGGCATGGTTTATAATATTTTAATATTAATATTAATATTAATAGCAATACTGATAGGCAGCATTTATTGAGTGCTTACTACATCTGAGACATTCTGCAAAGTCAACACCCTATGAGGAAAGTATTATCATTCTCATTTTATAAATAAGACAACTGAAGTCCAGAAAGGTTATGTAACTTGTTCAGGGTCACAGAGCAAGCGATAAACCTCTAACTGGACCCAGCCAATCCCATTCCATTGTTTGACCCAATGTGCTGAGCACTGGTCTGTACTAGGGAGAGCAAAAGGGAGGGAGGGAGAAGGAGAGAGGGAGGGGGAGAGGGAGGGGGAGAATGAGAATCCTTGTCCTTGAGAAACAAAGTAATCAGGAACGGCAAGCCAGATAGACAAGAAGATTTAAGAGAAAACTGAAACATGTAAGTGTATACAGATAGAAAGCTGAGGAGCTAAGCACAGTGGTACCAAGCAAAAACAAGTGAACAAAACGGCTGGGGCTGAAAAAGAGTAGGCTGGAGAAGTTTTGTGGGTGAAGGGAGTTCTGAACATCATTTTGAAGGGAGACGTGATTTGGTGAAGGAAGATATAAAAAAAAAAAAAAATGATATGCAAAAAGGCATGCAAAGCATGTCATGTAGATTACAAGGAGACCAGTCTGCCTGGAAGAGAGTTGAGGTCAGAGGAGATAGAGGGATGAGGGGGTTAGCTGGACTATCAGAGGAAGTCCCTCAAAGAAAGGGACCTCCTGTTTGGTAAACATCTTTCCCTGGCAATATGAGGCAACTGTCATCTCATTTGGAAACACGACACTATACCTTTGACCTCTGGCATGGTCCCAGACATAAGACTCCAGAGCACTCTTTGAAGGCTCCCCAAGGCTTGGCCAAGGTGACCCTAAGAACTGTTCCTCGTGGTCCTTGGATTAGTCTTTGGAATTGCTTATGCTACTACCCCCAACAACTGCCTCCTGGTGCTTATAGTCTCTCCATGTTAGAGCCACTTGAAAGGGACCTGCTGAGCTCTTATTTCATCCCCAACTCTTGAGGGAAAGGTCAGCAACCATCTTCTACCATGAGTACCACAAACGGTGACCTCAAATGCACCAATGAGAACCAGAAGCCCAAATTTGGTTTCTCTAGTCTTTTCCAGGATTTCCCTGTGGCCTCTAAACACGACCCATGGCACCAAAAGTTCTAAGGATTCCCAGAGTGCTCCTGGGCAAGACTCACGTCCCCTAGAAATCACTAATAGAGACAACTAGAAATCACGACTAGAGTCTGAGAGACCAGACTGCTGTTAAGTCCAGACATTTTCGAATGGGGCACATGGAGACACGGAGGCAAATGTAGGAATACAGCTTGAAGTAACAAACATCTGGATCAGGGTAACTGTGGAAAGAGCTACAGAGGGGGCTGGATGGTAATGGCGATCGAAGGGAGAAACTCTACTGAAGGCCTGGATATAGGCAGGGAGGTAAATTTTCAATGGTTGCTTAATAGAGCAAATCTGAAAACTGGTGGCATTATTGACAAGAACAGGAACAAAATTTTTAAAATGGGGGAGGGGTGTATGAAAATAACCAAGACACTCTGAATAAGTATAAAAGGAATGACTTGTCTTACACGCTATTAGGATATATTACAAAGACATAATAATTGAAACAATATAGTAGTATGAAGGGAGGGACAGACAGATAGATAAACCCTAACCTTCACGCAAGAGGAAAGAATAAAGGCCAGAAACAGTCCTACACATTTGGGGACTTGGTGGGAAAACAATGGACTATACGATGAATGCTGACAGTTCAGTTTGTTATCCATGTAGAAAAAAGATACCTCGGTAATATACAAAAATAAACTCAAGGTGGCTGAAAACCTAAATATAAAAAGCAAGGCTATAAAACATTCTGAAGAAAATAAAGGAGTGCATATTATGACTTCAGATAAAAGAAAGATTTCTTAAACAAGACAAAAAGCAAAACTACTCCTCCAAACCCCACAAACCACAGGAAAAAATGACTGATACACTTGACTACATTAAAACAAAAAAATTTTTTACACCAAAGGCACCATAAAATATAAACAGACAGGCAGAGACTGGAAGATATCTACAGGAGATAACAAAGGACTAATGTCCAGAATATATAACAAACCGCTACAAATCAAACAGCAATTTTTTTTTAAAAAGGGCAAAGGGCAACTGACAAAAAAGGAAAACCAAATGGTCAATAAATATATTTAAAGGTACACAACTTTACTAGTAATCATGAAAATGCAATTTAAAAATAAGGAGATATCACATTTCTCCCATTAGATTGGCAAATATTTTGAAGTCTGATAACACACATTGATAAAGAGGTGAGGATACTAGAACTCTCATACATGGCTGGTAGGATTATAAACTGATAGAAACACTTTTAATTGCTTTTGACAATAACCTGTGACCCAGCATTCCACTTCTAGGAATAGATCCTTGAAAGGGAAGATAATGAATGTGGGATTCAGTTTTACTACTAACTTTAAGTCCTAACACGTAAGTTATATTATCTTCTATTTTTATGTTTGAAATGTTTCATAGATAAAATAACTAAATATAATAGATTTTTTCAGATGTTAAGAGTTTAATAAGGATAATTTATTTACTCACTCAGCCATTCGGTCATTCATTTATTCAACAAGTAAGTGGGATACACAATCACAATGGTCTATGGACAAGTGGGAAATAAAACCAAGCTGTGCCTACAGCAGGAAAGGAGCAATATACTGAGGATAACACAGTAAATTTACGTTAATTTCAAGAGGCATTTCATAGTTCCTCATGGTATCTTATGGTAAATATGGTTGGATGAATATTATAGACTGAGAAATTGATTTCCAGTATTCCACCATAGCACTGCCTTTGGTTCTGTTTTGTTCACTACTGGAAAAAAATTAACTTATGTTTTTGAGATCTGCACATGATTTTGTGCTAGAATGAGGGGTTAGGATACTGTACAACAAAACATTAACATTTTTTCACTTAGGCTAAAACAGGGATTAAAAAGTATTCTGACTGCCCTGGCCGGTTTGGCTCAGTGGTTGGAGTGTCGGTCTAGCCCTTGAACCAAAGAGTGGCAGGTTCGATTCCAGTCAAGGGTACATGCCTCGGTTGAGGTTCAATCCCCAGCCTGGAGAGGGTCATGGAGGAGGCAACCAATTGATGTGTCTCTCTCACATCAATGTCTCTTGCCTTCCCTCCCTCCCTCCCTCCCACTCTATCTGAAAATCAATGGAAAAATATCCTCGGGTGAGTATTTTTTTTAAAAAGTATTCTGACTTGATTTTTTCCCCTTTATTGATGTCAGAGAGAGAGCGGAAGGGAGGAGAGATAGAAACATTGATAAGAGAGAACATCAATTGGTTGCCTCCTGCATGCCCCCCACCGGGGATCAGGCCCACAACCTGGGCATTTGACCTGACCGGGAATCGAACTGGTGACTTCTTGGTGCATGGTCAATGGTCAACCACTGAGCCACACCAGTCAGGTTTGATTTTTATTTTTTTAATCCTCACCCGAGGACATTTTTCCATTTTTGTTCAGATAGAGTGGGATGGAGAGAAATCAATGTGAAAGGGACACATCGACTGGTTGCCTCCTGCACGACCCGACAGGGCCAGGGACGAACCAAAACCAAGGTATGTGCCCTCGATGTGGAATCGAATCCACAACTCATTGGTCCACAGGCTGACACCTAACTGCTGAGCCAAACTGTCCATGGTTTGATTTTTATTTTTTAATCCTCACCCTAGGATATATTTTTATCAATTTTTAGAGAGAGAGAAGAAAGGAAAGAGAAGGAGAGGGAGAAACATTGATGTCAGAAGAGGAACATTGATTGGCTGCCTCCCAAATGCACCCTGACCGAGGATCAAACCTACAACCTAGGTATGTGCACTGCACGAGAATCAAACCCACAACCTTTTGGTGTTTGGAATGATGCTCCAACCAACTGAGCCACCCAGCCAAGGCTATTCTGACTTTAGATTGAAAAAAAAAAAAGTCAAATGCACTCTACAGAATGACATTCAATTCTGGGAGCCATCTGTTAAAGAAACCCTATCAATCAATAAAAGGTTTTCCCTAACAGAAGATGAATAAAATGACCGGGGAAGAATTTAGAAGTCAAATCATGAAGAGAGACAGTCAAATGAGCTAGTGATAATAAGCCTCTTGGAAAAGAAAAGAGAAAATAAAAGTAAGATGGAGCGGCTGGTGCTCTTCAGATGATCTAGAGTTGACCTGTAGGAAGAGGAATGGACTTGCTCTCTGTTGCTGCTCCTCAAGGGAGAACCAGGACTAAAAGGTACATATTTCAAGATGAGATTTCATTTCAACACACAAAAATGAAAACAATTATGAACTATCTCTTCAAGTAAAAAAAAAAGGAACTCCTGAATGTTTAAACACAGGGTACATGGACTGTCTTGGGTTTTACAAAGGGTTTTCCTGACCAGAGTGAGAAGAAATGAAAGATTTTGCTAGTGCCTTTCAATTCTTAAATTCTATGAGGACAGTGGGAGAGATGAGTCCAAGACCCACAAAACCCTGCAACACTCTTCAGTTGGCTTTTACTATTTTCTAAGCTAAAAAGGATAAACTTTAAGAAGCTGCAGGAAAACATTACTGACTTTCCCCATCCAATTTCTTTTTGCTTCGAATGAACTAGAAAAAATATAGCCAATAAAGTGATTCCAATCTCTACATTTCATGCCTCAGAGGAAATATATGCAAAACAACAAAGCAAGTATGCTTGGTGGGAACTAGTATGTGCCAAGTGGAAAATCTGTTTTAAACTGAACTGAGGCCCTG